ACGGCGCTGATAGCCGCCAAGAGGCGGCTGCCGAGCTCGGTGCAGCCCCGCGTCAAAAAGCGGGTTTTTCCTGTGCGGCCTTAGGGGGTACATGCTATTCGTGCCATTGCTCAGTGTTACCTGAAAACATAGACGCTGGGAACAGCTTTACGTGCTTTTTAGGAAGTAAAGTTTCTCCGCTTTCAAGAGATTTAATTAACCGAGTCGACTGTCCGGTTCTCAGCAGAAGTTGTCGTAGCTGCAGCAGCTGTGCTGCTTACCACCGACTTGGTTTTGGAGTTAGTCCTGGCGTGCTGTGAAATGAATGGGCTTAAACGTGAAACTCTGAAGTGCTTGTGCGAGGTTGCCTTGGCATCCTTCATGAATTTGATTAAGGAAACTATTAAACACAATATAATCAGTTGATAACTGCCTGTTGCTAATCTAATTAGATAACGAGAGACTTGGCCAGCACCCCTGAGTCAGAAGAGTGTTCACCACTGAGTAAACAAATAACGCTTATCTTCCGCAGGTGTGCAAAGTATTCCCTACTCTACTAATACAGCTTTGCTTAAACTTCAGCTGCTGCTAAAATCTTAATGTGCTGCTTGCTGGTCTGCCTTGCTTTGGGATGCTGGTGGGGAATTACTTTTTTAAGGGTAAGGAGACCTTTGTTTTGCCAAATGGAGTTAGACCCATTGACCTTACCTTCCGAAGGAGGTGTTAATAATCCTCTTCTGTGGTTGGCACTTAAACACCAAGTCTTCAATCGCAGAGCTTTGTATATTGATGGTGGTTGGTCTAGGTCTTTTCCTTGCTATAAACATAACAAAATTCAGAAAAGCAGATAAATTAATGAAACTTAATGATATTCTAGAATAACAGGTTCCTCCCTTTATTTTGTAGCGAAAGCACTTTTCTTTCACTTCATTCACCTGGAAGTTCTGTTGGTATGGGTATGAGATGCTTAGCTTCTGACTTTGTTCCTAAGATAAATCCTGTTTTTCAGTCTTTCGTTATGCGCTTACCCTGTTTTTTTCTGCTCTCTCCTCGCTTGTTCACATTCCCCCACTTCCCCCTTCCTGCCCCCCAAATCCTGGAATAGTTTGAGACTGAGTGAGCACCAAAAGCCAGGCCAGTGTTCAAAAAGAAGATATCATTATGGTAGTATATTTTCTCCATATCCTCTATTTCCCAGCACTGCTAATGTTGTATTGCTTGTTTTACTGGAAGGAACCTCGAGGCCCTCTACTCCCCATCTGTTCCCAGATAGGAAATTGCTTATTTTTATTCTTGACTGTAGTGTTGCCTTTCACTGTGTCTTGTTTTCCACAGCAACCTTGGCTTGGGATTGTGACTTTTTGCGAGACTAAACTGGCCTTTGACTCTCCTTCTTTGGAATTGCCTGTAGCTCACCACTAAAAGGACTGTATCAGATGCTGGTGAAGCAGTTGAGACTAATTTTATTCTCACAAACATAGCATAGAAGGCAGGCTGATTTGTATCTTGAAACGGTGAAATGAAAAACTCCCTATGCAGTATGTTTTATTACAAGCTGCAAAAAATCAAATTACAAGGAGTGCTGTGACTAATGCACTGGCCTGGGGCTTGCTTAGTATTAATGCAGAATAAATGTTTGTTTACACGTTTGCCTAGGGAAAAACATTAGCAGACTTAGCGTTTCATCAGATATCTTTCTGGTGGCATAAATGTCATATGTTCAGGTTAAAGCCTCATATATTTTTTTTGAAAATAATGATCAGCATCATTCTTGAGCAGTAATGGAAAAAGTTATTTTAGTCCAAGAGTGAAATACTGCACTTCCCTTCCCTTCCTTATAAATAAAATAGCTTGGGTTCTGCTTTAATGCCTGGTAACTGGGAAAACTAGCCCATGATTCAACAGATCAACCTTTCAGGCTTTTACAAAAACAAGGCTTTTTCACCTTTATGGAATTGTCTGGATACAGTGTTTTCTATACAGAACTTCCCTGCAACTTGGCCTGAGTGCCTTGCCCTGTTCATGCAGAGTTAATCACCTGTGCTGTAAATTGTTGATGTGCAGAAAGCCCAGTGGAATATTAATATTCCCTCCACAAAAGAAACAGTGAATACACTTGCCAATAAAAGAAGAAATTAATTAGGCATTTTAGACTTTGAAGTCTTTTATTTCGTTCAGTCCTGTTGGTAAGCTTGTGAACATCTGCAGGTGTTAAAAAGAATTTCAAGCTTGAATTGGGATGTCAAATGCAATGTCTTTTCCTGTTTTATGTTAAATGCTAGCTGTACTCCTTTGCAAGTTTGTTTTGAAAGAACATCAAAAATAACCTGTTATCTGTTACTAGAGTACTCTAGTTTCTGATCTCATTTTTGATAATTCCTAGGGAGTTAAACTGACTTCCGTACTTGGTTTTGCCTTTGATTGAAAACCTTAAATAGAATAAACCAGGGAAGTTCCTTTTTTCTTCACTGTGTTTTTCTTAATTGATCATTTGGATGTAGCAGGTTTTTGACCTGGCATTATCAAGAACAAGATATTGAACCAAAACTTACATGCATCCCATAGATAATAGGGTCAACTGGCACGTGAAGAGGAAAACAGGAGCTGCCCTGTGTTAAGCACTGGTGTCGTAGTAACCATGGAGACTGTATTTTGATATCCTCTTCTACTGCAGTTTGACAAGTGGAGTACTAGCTACAAAGTTGACTCGGTAATGAAACAAAAATATTTTGCTCACTGCTGCATTGTTTCATTGCAAATCTTTGGCCATCTTCAGTCCTAAATTTGAAATTGCTATCAATTGCAAATGAGTAATGTTACAGAACAAACCTGACTTCATGAAGACATGGCGTAGGAAAAGTTGGGCTTCTGGAAGCTATCACTGCCCCTTCTTCCTCCCTCTCCCCCCCAAAAAAAATACCGAAAGATAAAAGAAGCATTCAAGTTGTGGGATGTATGTGATTTTTATTATTATTTTAGGTCATTGCCTCACACTTTGCATTCTGTAGTCAAAATATTCTCCAATGTTAGTATCTGTACTTAAACGTGGTATGGGAGGGAAGAAAAGCTATGACATTTGGATTACAACATAGAGAGGGTTTTTTAATGTATACGTATGTATATGTGGGGGTGTGTGTATATATATAAAAATAATCACGCCTTGGATATGAACGGACTTGGGTATCTGAACTTGTACAGCTTACTACGCCTTAAGGAAAGGCTGCAATACCATTGTTCTGACAAAGATTCAGACTACGCTTGAGATTTGTCCTGCTTTGTTGTAGTTGTGGTTAGGTGGAACAAAACACTCTTACCAACTGTACCTTCATTCCTTGAGTTCAGGACGTTGTGGTATGACATATTGTGGACACGCAGGAAAGTTGAGCGTTCTCCAGACGTGACTCAGTCCATGTTAATGAAGTGGGATGAGAGGCAAGCACGTACTGTCCTCTGGTTCGTTCTGGTGTTGCCTTTATCTGAAACTTCCCAATCAGTGGGCTTTTGCTAATGGACTAGCTACAAGAACTGTAGTGCCAAATTGCCTCTATGAAGAATCACTGCATCATAGCTTCTGCCTCTGAGGGCTTGCAGGGTTTCTGAGCAATGAAATGGCCATGCAAGTTGGTTCATGCAACCACATATAAGATCTTGCAGCTGAACTTGGATAGTCTAAAAGTTACACTGAAGTTTTCCCAATCATGGCTTTCCTTGGAAAAATCCCGCCGAGTGTTGCATGCTGTCTCTGTAACAGTATGGACACTGGGCAGTTTATTTCCAGGGAAGCTTGGTAAAAATGCAGGTGAGAGTTTTAAATGTATTTAGGAAAGCAAATTTTCCTTTGTTTCCTGAATGTTGCCTCAAATACTCTCCTCCTCTTGGCAGGTATGCATGCTTTTTTTTTTTTTTTTTTTTTTCTCTTTTCCTGGCCCCTTTTCATCAGCCTTGGTGCTTGGCTCTTGTTGATTTGGGGAAGTTTAATTCGGGGAAGTCTCTCTAATCTGTATACGATAAACACAGAGCTTCTGATGTTCTTCCGCTTGTTATGATGGTGGCTTATTATCAGAACTCAATTTTATGTGTTTTTTACACACCCTACTACCACCATGTTAAGGCTATCTGGAGCCCTGAAATATAGGTGCAGCTTTCCCTTGGGCAGGATCTGTGCAGAAGTAGGGTGATGAGTGAACGTGCACATCTTTAATTACTGCATTTCTTAATTGTAGACTTCAGATCAAAGACGCAGCCATGAAAGATCCAAGTCGCAGCAGTACTAGCCCAAGCATCATCAATGAAGATGTGATTATAAATGGTCATTCTCATGAAGATGACAATCCCTTTGCGGAGTACATGTGGATGGAAAACGAAGAGGAATTTAACAGGCAGGCAAGTTGTTTTCCTGTACAGATGTGTTGTGGTGTGCTTTGCTATTTTCTAGCTTAAAGGAGAGGTGCTGTGGCCTAACAACCAGTGTACAGGACTGGGAACCCTTTAGAGCCAGAGTTTTTAGATAGGCTTGCTAGAACGATTCTGGGGACAAATATGGTTTCTCTACCAATAAATATTTATTTTCTGTGAATTTGTTGGAAAATAGAAGTAGTGCAGAATGTTCTCACACATCTGTTAATTCCGTACTTCTGCAGGAGGGAGCAAAAAATATATAGTTGACAGACTTGACCAGTGGCCCGTTGGAAGGCCCTGATCTTGTTAGGGTACTGAGTTGTTGAGACTCTTAGCTTGTGAAAGCATGCCAGGTGTGGTAGCTGCAAACTGGATAAGTTCAGGTGCAAATGTGCCTTGTCAACAGGGCTGTTATTAAGGGAGTTGGTGAGCATAGTTATTTGGTGACGGTTCTGTTCGGGTTGCTTAATACTTACGGAAAGTACCTTAAAGCTGGCCTTTGCGATCTGATTGGAAGGAAGCTTTGATTTCATCTTCCACCTTGTATCTGGGTGCAGTTTTGCTTCCTGTGGAGTTGAGGACAGCCCCCCCTTTCCATTCTCCTTTTCATAGTAATCGTTGCTTGGTCTTGTTGCTCAAATTGCTTGCTTTCTCTGTACTGCAGTAGTGTGGCAGTGCTGAAGGCTCAGAAGCGTAAGCTTGTGAAACACGTCTCCTGCTCTCTCCTTAGAGTTCTTTATTGGGTGCAAGTAGGTACAAAGCTAATCTCAAATTCAGGCTGCTCACGAAGTCTATATTCTCTTGTGCGGATGCCAGGATGGTCTCAACGTTGTATCCTGTTTGGTGGGTTTCTTCCTCCTCAGGGACTCTGCTCTACTTAGCATACAGGATGTGCAGTACTTGGGGAATGAACTGAGAGTTGTGCAGTGAATTAACTATTTATCACATACAGACTCCATTTTGAGAGAACAAGGATGGGAGCATGAGAGGAGATTGCTTTTATTCAGGCAGGCAAATACCATGCGAGATCCTGTTATCTTGTCCCTGTAGGCACATCCCTCTGTGAAGCTGAACAAGTCAAAACTTTGAATGGAGAATACAAACTGTGCCGATATTACTTTCAAGCCATTTGGGGAATGAAGTGTTTTTTAGTACTTCTGGAACTGCCATTGGAGGCACCTGTAGATGTGCAGCAATGTAACAAAACACCTGGAGTTGGGCAACCCCTGTTGTAATACTGACTTGTGACTGTGTGCCCACGGTTTCCTTTACCCACGCACAGGAAGGAGACAGTACATCAAAAGAAGGATTGGAAGCTGGAGTACTAATCTGCCCATGCAGGGTGCTTTTGCACTGGGTTATCTGAAGAAATTAGTAAGTCACTGTTTCATGCAGGGTTTGAATTGTCTGGACAGTCACTTGGAGCATATGGTAATGAGTCCTTGTTCCCCAAGAGCTGTGTACCATGTCCCTTTAGTACTAAGGGAGCTGGTGACCGCGCTTGCCTCAAGGATAGAGGGCCTGGATTTTATGGGAATCCCGAGTTCCGATGCTAACTTTTTTGAGTTTGTGTTTCTCGCGTGTAGCTCTACTTCCATCACAGGATCTAGTGCACGTTTGATTTTTCAGGGTGGAGGATAGATGGAAAAACTTGTTGAAGCTTCCATTAAATGCACTTAATCTGGTCTGAATTCCACCTCCCCCACCTAATGTCTGGCAAGTCATTCATGTCAGCTTCTGTTTCCATGCTTTCCCATCCAAGTACTGTGATGTAGGACGCACAAAACTTGTCAGGATCATCTCCTTCCAAAGCTTGTTTACTGAACAACCAAGCAAAACTTTCCTTTAATCTGTGTTCAGCAGCGCATGTCAGTTCTGCGTCAGCTGATTTGTACTGCAGGTCAACGTTCTTAATGACTGCTATGATCATGTGGAGTTTCTTATGAGAACTACATTGTGTGAAAATGTAAAGTACAGCCTAGGAGATGCTTGTTATTCCCCGCTCCTAGGGAGAGGCAGTAATTTTTTTCAAGGGTCTTACGGGGCATTTTTCTTTTGAGTGCATGAGTTGCACGGCTGCACAAATCATCCCTGGTTCCCTTCCTCCTACTTCTCCTAAGTTAAATGGTGGGTTCCATCCGAACTAGGTGGCACAGCTGAAATTTGACTTGGAACCTATGTTCTGCTTCTCCTTGAGCTGGTAGCAAGCTCTCTGCAGTAAGCACGTGGGCTAGACTGCTAGGACTGATGGGTTGTCCTGCCGTCCTCATCTGCAGCGTGAGTTCCTGGGACAATGCACTTTTACGTGTGAAAGAATCAAAGCTGCTTGCCTTCTTACAGCAGAAATATGTTGTTCTGTCAGAAGTCCTAGTGCAGTGCTAGGAAGACAGTCAGTGGGTGCACGGACCCTGAAATAAAGGCACAGCCTCTCAATAGGTTTGATAAAGCTGTTTCTTCTCATTGTGTAGATTGAAGAGGAATTGTGGGAAGAAGAATTTATTGAGCGCTGTTTCCAAGAGATGCTGGAAGAAGAAGAAGAGCACGAATGGTTTATTCCAGCTCGTGATCTCCCACAAACAATGGATCAAATCCAGGACCAGTTCAATGACCTTGTTATCAGTGACAGCTCATCACTGGAGGATCTGGTGGTAAATTCAGTTTCTCACCATATTTCTAAAACTTGACAACTCTCCATGGCCAAGGCTGATTTCTGTTTCTGGTAATGGCAGTAGAAAATCCTTTATAGGTAGGCCAGTGACTCTTATACCATGCATAGCGATGGTGGAGGGGGAAATGTGGAACAGTTGAGTAAGGTATGTTTCGTCAAATGACGTGACTAGTTCAGTAGTTTTGTTCGTGACTGCATGATGCCTTTCCTCGGCCATGGCATAAATTCAGGTGTGTTTGGGTATGCCTGCTCTATTATGAATGGAGGGCAATGAGCAAATCATGCTGACTTCATGAAGTGCAATTCAGTGGCAGGACCGCAAGACTTTAATCCAGCAACTTTCAACATTTGCACGTCCTGGGTAGATGCAAGTCATGTTCTCAGATCTAATGTTGATCGTGTAAGCTACAACAGATTTTTTTGGTAGCAACTCTAGGAAGAGGAAACCAGCTAAACTGTGATTATATCGCTGATTCTTGCTGTATGGCTTCTCAGTCCAGAGCTCAATTAAAAGGAAAGGGTAGTCTGTACATTGTTGCCTAACAGAACGTGTAATGGAGTTATTGATAGATAAGTCACATAACTGCTGTAAAAAGTCAGATGCAGAACTCTCTTTTCCAAGCTTAAGGAGATGCAGGTAGCAGTTTCTAACTCAGTTAAGAACATAAAAGCCTAACCCTCCTTTTCTCTCTTAACAATAAATAGCTCATTTTGGAGATACTGGCTGCCCACCTGTAACTGCTACCAAAATAACTGCAGAAGTTTGTAGAGCTTGCCAACTGGGTAGAAAGGGTACTCGCAGGCACAGAAGAATTTAACGTATGAGCATTGTATTTTTTTTAATTGCCAGAAGTGGCTTAACTTCCTTGAACAAAAATCTCTTCTTGCTCAAATAAGCAAGAACTAAAAACCTTGTGACATACTTAAACAGTTCAACTTCAGGAAGGACTTTCAACAATAATCAAAGTTGCTGTATGTGATGCGTATATCCGTGTTCTTGTTTCTTACTCACTGAGCCCTCAGTTGTATGAAAACCTCCAGGGTGGTGCTAATGAAGGGTGAATAGTGCAGGTACAAACATAGAGTGGGCTTTTTAATGAGTATGGAGACCTTCAGCACATGTAAAACCCTGTTACATGCCTCGATGTGTTCTAAATCTGTAAGCGCGTAGTAGTGGTGTCCACCTAGAATTGTATTCAGCTTAAAAGTGGAAGATGAAAATAATGATTCAACTAGACTTCTGTTTTTCCCTTCCTTAGGTCAAGAGTAATCTGAATCCAAACGCAAAGGAGTTTGTTCCTGGGGTGAAGTACTAAATATTTGAGTAGACTGGGCCCTCTTTTGGTGGATGTAGCACAATTTCCACACTGTGAAGCCAGTATTAGAAGATTTAATTGTAAAAGCTCTCTTCTTGTCACTGTGTTACACTTATGCATTGCCAAAGTTTTGTTAGTCTTGCATGCTCAATAAAAGTGCTGAGACTGTTACTAAGTAAATCTGTCAAAAGTTTAATGAAAACGTGATTGGACCCTGGCTCTTTGCAAAGGAGACAGTGAGGTAAGAAGCACCAGTCAAGTTGAGACAAAGTACCACATATAAAAACTTCTGCAGACTCTGTCTTTTTAATAGGAATTTGCTAAGGATGGTCTGTTTTTAGCTAAAGATGTGTTAACTGGTGCTAGTTTGCACCTGATAATGCCTTAACTTTAAAATGAAAGCAAGGTTATCTCATTGTTATGCAAATTAGCTAACTTTCCTTTGAATATCAGTATTGTTACTAATGTTAATTTTTCCCCTTAAAAAAAACAAAAAAACTTGATGCTGCTTTTAAGCAGCATGAGCTTTAACAGAAATTTTGCAGACCTGTACAGAGTCCTAGATCTCAGCTACTGAACTAACATCCAAGTGATTGGAAGGAAATTTCCTATATTTACAGTATGTTATCATGTTAGAAATGTTTCACTTCCCGATTACATTAAAGGAGATGTGAGTTTCATCACAATTTCTTCCAAGAACCCAGATACATAGCCCTGTCTATGTAACTTTTAGCATACAACTTTAATATAGCTGGATTTAACCAAGAAAACCCTAGCATTAGTGATTTGAGTGGTGCTTTTCCCTTGCTTTGTTTAATCATCACTACACAATAGTCTACAGCACAACAACTTTTTTCTTTTAATAAAGCTAGAACAGTTTTGGCTTCTTAAACTTCATATTTGGGTAGGTTAAGCTGCCATACGTGTTCAGTGTGAATAGTGTTTAAGTTGAAAATATTGTAAAAAAATTATATTTTTTCAAAAATATTTAAAAAAATAAATAATAGTAGAACTGACTTGTGACTGTCTCATGAATATGCATCTTACATGGCAACCCTCATTTGGCTGCGTGAGGAGGTAAGGGATGATGTTAACGCTTCAGGGCACATACGGTGCCTATAGTGCTGCTTGTAACAAGCTCATCCAAAATAGCAGTCTCAGACTGGGCTCTGACTGCTCGTTTTTCCTCCTATGAAGTCTTACTGCTCTATGTGTTTCCCTGAGCATGATTTGCTGGAATGCTATTTCTCGCTGCTGCTAAAGCTAGGTCAGCTCCGCTGCTTCCGGCAGCACAAGAGGTCCTAGCTAACAGCTGATGGCACCATATAAAGCCCACAGCCTGAATCAGGCTTCCAGAGGCTTTGGCAGGGTGGCTGTTGGAGCTGGGGCGCTCTGACTGTTCTTGCCTGCATAAACTTGACAGGGCTACAGGGAGATGTGGGTAAGCTGCATGTTGGATACACTTTAATGGCCCCCAGCAGTCCTTCGAAACAAGTTTGCTCCAGTCGTCCTTCATAATTTTGCCTAGCCTCCCTGTTAGCGTGTTCTGTTCAGCTCTGGGTAAACCACGTGGAAACACTTCAGAAATTACGTGGTACTTCAGTACAGGAAGACTGAGATGAAGTCTTTACACGGATGTTAGTCTACAACATACCGCTTTGTTTTTGGCAGTCTTATTTTGGAATGGAAACTTCTAGGTCTTCCTAGAAGCGGCCAAACTATTGTGGTGTTTCTGCTGGCTTTGAAATAGTTTAAACTCGAGCACCTTGAGACAGGAGGTCAGGAAACGACCTGCTACCATGTTACAGCTTATTCTTAGCTGGAGGGAGAGTTTCACCAGGGTTCCCTCTGTCTTGCTGCCTTGGCCCTTGCAATGAACTTCCTCTTGGAGTTTTAAGCCCAGGCGTGATGAACTTGGGATGACTGGCAGCTAAGTGCCTTAGCTAGGGGCCAGCCAATTGTGAAACAGCCAAAGTTCCCACACTTTTCCTGGCCTACTGTAGCTAACCATATACTATGGAGAGGTTTTAATACTTAAGAGGTGAACTTACTGAGAGCGATGGTGGGGTGATCTCTGTAGGTCACAAATAAGATGGTATAATAGGAAGGTGCCTTTCTTCTGCAGGAGAAGTTTGCTTAATGAGGTGTTTTGCCTGATCCTTTGCTAGGCACCTGTTCCTGTGTGGGAATCGGTGCAAAAAAACTGGAACCGGTGAGCCCTTGCTTTTTAGGGGTTCCTAGGTGTGAATTATTTCCTGCCCAGTGCTTGCAAACTAGGATGGGGTAATACAGCGCTTGCTTCAGCTTTGGATGTTGCTGCTAATCCCCCAAGCCAGAGCCGTTGCAGCCCAGAAAACGGGCTTGATTCTGTTAGCCCTCGTGTTGAGGCCATCAGCTGTTTTCTGTGCGTACTACTGAAGACTTGTCTGGCTGCTCAAGCCGTGAGGCAGCGCTTAACTGGAGCGGCTGGGGGTAGAGCCAACTTTCTGGCATCCTCAGCAGCAGAACTGGTTTGCCAAATGCTCTTGCTTTCTACCTCACCCTCTGTATCAGTTCAGAGAAGCTCGCTGAACAGCAAGGGTCAGCTAGAACTGAACAAACTTCAGCTGTGTTGTGTCTTGGTGTTCGGCCGTCTAGAAGGGAGGATGTCTGCTGTGAACTATGCTGTGCGGCAGTCTCTGTCTAAGTTTCTGAAGCCTTCAAAAATGCTGAAGGGGTGAGGAAATGATCCAGGAGACACCAGTGAAAACGAAAGTGGCAAATAGTTTTTTTTTTTTTTCTTTTTAATGCAAAATCTTAAAGTAGACATCCTAATGCTCTGTAGTGCTTGGTCTGAACACTGTACCCTGCACAGAACCAACTTAATCCACAGAGTAACCTTGCTGAAATCTAGGGTATTGTATGAAAATTCTTGGCTCTGGGTGGCTATTCGTTATTCTGGCTGGTACTAGTGGCCTCACAAGTTCTAGCTAGCTCTGACCACAGTTAATGAGCTTCAGCACAGCTTTGAACAAGTCTTAAACCAGTTTAAGCGGGAGTGAGAAGTTACACAGTGGTGGTAGTGGTTCTGAGGCCAGCACCAGGGGAGCTCTGCTGTTTGTAGGGGTTCGCATTGTGGAGTTTGTGCTCTGGTTTTAGCTAAAACGGGCTAATGATGTTCCCAGAAGGCAATTGAATGTCCTAATCTTGTTGTGGAGCCAAGCAGAAGAAGCCTTGGCTTTGGACTTGCTGGGTTCTAGAAACCCTGCAGCAATGCTGCTAGGATGTGACCTGTGGGGAGCTCTGCACCGGTCCCTCTCAGGAGTTTGGCTTGGCTTTTCTGTCCTGGCTTTTCTTATAGCTACTCGTGGGAGAACTGAGATGCGAGTCTAGTGACAGTCCAGTAGGAGGTGTTCATCCTGCCCTACGTTCAGACCTTCGTACATACAGAGAGGTTGTCTGTGTTGTCTTGCGTGTTTTCGGTTGAATCACAATTTCTCTTTGTTCTTGAGTTAAATCCTCTGAAGATTGGGCAAATTGGCACGTACTTCAGCCACCGGATTCTTCTCACAACGTTCATCCCAAAAGGAAAATCGTAGCTTTTCAAGCTTGCCGTTGTCGCGCTGTCTGAGCGCGCTCCGGCCTTCCACTGAATCAGGCCCCGCTCTTCTTGCGTCCCTGTGAGAGGAGATAAAGCTTTGGCTGGCGCAGGGCCGCACGGCACCGCTGCCAGTGCGGGTGCAGGACAGCAACATCAGTTCTTGTAAAGTAATAAACTGCTGGCTGCTCCTCAAGTCCCTTACAAAGGCACGACTGTGGAGACAGGACTCTCCCCTTCCAGTACTGAATGCTGATGTGTTTGCAAGGCCGCATTTGGCGTGCAGCCTCAGCAACTAGTGTTTATAAATGCTTCGTCTTCCTTAAAAGATTAAAAAAACCTCTCATGGCATTGACCTGACCGACCTGTGGTAGTGACCTGCTAATGCTTAGCCATCTGCTGTGATTGCTGAGGTCTCTGCTTACTACAAACCCCAGTGCTGTTTCACTTTGTGACCTCTGGTTGTCCCAGTGCAAGGGCTTAGAGCAGGGAGCACGAATTAGCAAAACAGCCAGTTGTTGGAGATGCTCGCTGGAAACCTACCCCCTACTTACACCTGCTGAAGCCTATGTGTTAGGGGCTCTCTGTGGTAGGGCTTTGCTGACTATGAGGGTACTTGCTGCGCGTGCCACCCCTGCAGCCCTGCAATGGTCTCTTGCAGCATTTAAAAAAAAATGTAAAAAAGGCAAAAAAGCTGGCTCCAAGTACACTAGAAGGGGAGGGAGCTGGATGCCAGCTGGTCTGGCAACAGCTTAGTGCGCTATAAAACCCAACTGTTTTGTCCCTGTGGCTCAGGGGGGGCGGGCGAGTTACCCGGAACAGTGTTGTCCAATATGAAGGCGATGGTCCCCCCAACAAACATCTCCGTTGTTAATAGCACCGTCAAGATTTGGTCCAGTTCAGGGACACCTATGAGAGTTCAGATAAGCCACTTACTGCAGAGCAGAGGAGGAGGAGGAGAAGGTGGCGGCACTGTGTGAAAAGGAGAAATGAGAAACAGGGCTTTGCAGAGAGGGCTCGCTCTTCCTCGGTGCTTGACCTCAGTGGTGCTGTTAGGGTCCTCACCAAGGCGTGTTCGTGTTTAGTCTCAGATCAATCAAATGATTATTGAAGGTGTCATTACCTCCTTGCAGGATCTTCCTTACCGTGTGTATCAGGTGAGTTTTCAGGCTCAATAACTCACTGTGAACCTCACATTGTAGCGGCTGTCCCAATTTAACTGGCATTCTGCTTTATAAATGTTCTTAAAAGTGTAGTTTACTGGGCATGGCCTTTGCTCAACAGTGCTGTTAAAGGCAGGCATCAAAGGGGGGGGAAACCAACAGCTGCTAACAAAAACCATCTGAGGAGGGTTTACACCTAATACCGGCCATGGCAAGAGCCTTAAATCCCCATGGTGTTCACATGGAAGCAGTGTGTTATTCCTAAAGTAATTCTATCATAATTAAAATTTGCCTTATTAATCATTGCTTACCCAAGGTGCTCTCATAGCGCCTGAGAGATCTGCATTCCTCTCTCGCTAAACATTATCGAACCAAGAATTTGGTAGAGGAGGAGATTCCTGCAGTGGCAACTGAAAATGTAAAATACATCCTGAGGCTCCTGAGCAAAGGGGGTGTACCTGTGTTAATGGCGTTGGGGTGAGAATCCAAGTAGTTTGGCAGTGTCAGCCCAAAAAACATTGCAAATCCCAGAACGAAAAGGTTGCGGGAGGAGTTCATGTCAACAAACTGCAGGTTGGAAAGGCCAACAGCTGTGATCATGCCTGCAAGCAGAGAAAATTCAGCCTCATCGCAGCTGTGCAAGGGAGGGCAGAGCATGCATCCTAGAGAAGGCTGACGCGGCTGTCTACTGATCTCTTGAGACCGGAGCCAGCCTCTGCCTCTGAGGTTGTGCTGATTGAAACAAGGCTGCAGCTGGGCAGTTGTCGCAGAAATAGCGTGTAGTCGTGGCCTGCTCCCCTCCACGGCTGTGTGTTACCAGCTCTCCGCTGGAGCTGAACGTGCCGTGGTGGTTCTGGCAGCCAGACGGTGCGAGCGCTGCTTGTCTGCTCCGGTACAAAGTCTGCAAAGTTCGTTCCAAGCCCTGCGGGTGCCCGGAGCCCAGTCCAGGGTGCCGTCCCCTCTGGCTGCGGGTATTGCCTCGAGCCACACGTGCAGTGTGGCAGCGCAGCAACAAAAACCAGCTTCTGCTAACGAGAATGTCTCTGAAGTCAGGAGATAAACTTGAGTGGAGAGGTATGTATGGACCTACCTGCCCTCGCCTGTCCCGAGGAGGAAGAGCAGTTCTGCAGAGCAGTTCCAGTGACTGATTAGGGAAGGCAATAGCTAAACCTAAGACCCTCCCTGGCAATTTGAATGGGTGTCAGACGGACAAATCTCAAGTGCAGCTTTGCAACTCCTTGGGCTTTTTGTACAGGGCTGCTCTGTTGCTTACCAGCGTGGCCCAGCAGTGCCTGTATCCCAGGGGAAGTGACCCGTCAGAGCACTGGGATTTGATGGCGGTTTGGGTTTGACGTGCAAACAGGTACTTGTGGAGGGGTTACCGAATAACGTGCAGAACATCCCTCCGAGGATGGGGTCCGGGAGCGAGGCAAACAGAGCGGTGAACTTGCCAACGGTTCCCAAAACAAGCATGATCCCAGCTCCGTACTGTATCACTCTTCTGCTTCCCACCTGCACAGAAAAATCTGCAGTGAACTGAGGCGAGCTGGCTGCTGGCGTCCACACTTCATCGCTGGCAGCTGGCTCCTGCAGAGCACTGCTGATCCCTGGATTTCAAAGCACTCTGTGAAGAAAGAAGGTCTTGTAGAAAGACTTCGGCCGGGGTCGGGACACTCGGTGTTCATTGTCTGCTTAGCGTGTGAGTGAGGGTGCAGAGGGCTGTCCTTTTGTTGCTTCTACTCTGATGTCCTTCAAATGAGAAAAGTCTGGTGCTTGGAGAGCAGGCAGCTCCTCTCTGTGCTGGCCGAGCGCCCATACAGCTCTGGATGAGAAAGGCCTAAACTCTCCCGACAATGTAAAGAGCAGCAGCAGCAGCAGCAACAGGCCAGCCCCAGGGAGAACCATGTCTCGGCCCAGGCGCCGAGCGGGAAGCAGTCTCCCCACCCCGGAGAGTTAGCTCTGAGCAAGCGTCCTGGGGCCAGGGGGGCAGCAGCAGCCGCCCGGGCCCAGCAGTACCTTCGTGATGGCCAGGACGCCGATGTTGGGGCTGGAGGAAGTGGAGCCGTTGCCTGTGCCCAGCAGCCCGGCTATGATGCAGGAGATCCCTTCTGTGAAAATGCCCCTGGAAAACAGATCAGACGGGCACGTCCAGGCCACTGTTTTTCCACGGCACGAGCGATGACAACGGACGCGTTTTAGGGCTGGTAGGTGGGTGGTCAAGGATGCCGTGGCTGCCTGGCCGAGCTGGGCCGGGCTGAGCTCGTGGGCTGCTGCGCTCACTGTGAGCGCCTCCAGCCAGGCTTGCTCAGGCAGCAGCCAGGCCCTGGCCGTCCGGAGAGGAGACCCAGGCGTCCTGCTCCCGGAGCGGTGCCCTGCGGGCGAGCAAAGCGCCGTTGCCCCGTCCCTGCGGGGAGCGCAGGCTGGCGGGGGCGCTTGCCCGTACCTGTTAATGGCGTGCACAGGAGGGGCCGGCGCTCCCGCCAGCCGTGCGCAGGAGTAGTAATCCCCGATGGACTCGCCGATGCCCGCCAGGGGGG